CTAGCTACCTACCTGCCTACCTACCTTCCCTCCTACCTACTTACCTACCTGCCTGGATACCTACCTACCTGCCTACCTACCTACCTACCTACCTACCTACCTACCGACCTACCTACCTACCTACCTACCTGCGTACGCACGTACATACATAACCGTGCACATATATATAATAACCGTGCACATATATATATATATATGTATATATATATATATGGTACATACATATAAATATGCATGTACTTATGTATGTATGCATACATATATATATATATACACACACACCTATGTACGTACGTACATACATAATCATGCATACATTACATGCATACATATAAACACAAACATACATATACACATGCATATACATGCATACATACATGTACAAACGTACGAACGTACGGACATAATTACATAAACATGCATACATTACGTACACGCATCATACAGCAGCCAGCCGGCCAAGCAAGCCAGGCAAGCAGGCAGCCAGGCAGGCAAGCAAATTGACGGACAAAATTTGCTATGTACGTTGCGGGGCACATGTCTAGAAGCAGCTTCTGTCTGTGCTTGTAGAAACCCTAGACCCTGAATCTTAGAGCGGACCGCAAAAAGGACCCGAAAAAACAGCATCGATAATTTTCGGACGTTATCATGAGTGATGCCTCGTTTTCGGAAACCCCCACGTGTCACGTGTGAGTTGAACTCGAAGAGCCGGAAGTGACGGAGCAACAACACGCTCCGATCTCGGAGCGGACAAACCTAACTTCGAAGTTATCCTGCAGGGAAAGGAAGTAGCTACGTTCTGCTTATGCCCTCCACAAGCACTGTAAGATGGCCTGACCAACAACACCATCTGCGGTGTCTCATCACTCCCACACTCTCTCTCTCTATATATATATATATCCATATATGACCATGAAATATGTATGTCTGCATACCCATTGCCTATCCACCTATCTACCTACCTGCCTGCCTGCCGCCTGCATGTCAGCTATCTACGTATCTATCTTTCTATACCTGTCTGGTCACACGTTCACATGTTGCCGTAGGATCTTCTGTACGTCTTGGCAAAAATACGTGGGCTGGTAACGCCTGCCAACACAAGTGAAGGCATCGCAAGACATGCGTGTGAACATTCCCGCTAACCCCACAGCCTCATGCTCCCCCACTCCCACTCCTGCCCCGCAAACCAGGCTGTTCAAGCCTCTTGAAAACCAGAAAATCAACAGGCAACCGAGCGGTAAGTTACCCACGCACAAATCCATCCATCCATCTAGCATTGTCTATCTGCCTGTTTACCTTTGTAACTATTGACCTATCTATCGACCTGTCTATCTATCTGTCTATTTGCCTACCTGTTTATCTGTCTATCTCTGGACCTGTCTACCTGTCCACGCTATCTATGTACCTATCTACACGAATAAACAAGCAAGTAGATGCACACACACACACACACGCGCATATATATATATATATATGTACATATATATGCACACATACAGACACACAGACATACCTGCCTGCCTGCCTGCCTGCCTGCATGTATGAATCCTCCATGCATGCATACATACACACATTACGTACATTACATACATTACATACATTACATCACATTACATTACATTACATTACATTACATTACATTACATTACATTGCATACATACATACATACATACATACATACATACAGACAGACAGACATACATACAGACATACATACATACATACATACATACATACGTACGTACGTACATACATACAAACATACACATGTATAGTGCATAGTATATGTACATAACTATGATTGCTGGTGTGCGCAACTGAATACTTAAAACGATTCTGGACACTTCGAAACTTTGTGCCGTTCCGGGACGCAGGTCTAGAAACAGCTTCTGTTTGTGCCTGTAAAAACCCTAGACCCTGAATCCTAGAGCGGACCGAAGGACCCGAAAAAACAGCATCGATCATATACGGATGCTTTCATGTATGACGCTTCGCTTTCGGAAACCCCCACGTGTGAGTTGAACCCGAAGAGCCGGAACTGAAGGAGCAACACAACGATCCGAGCTAGGGCCAAACAAACCAAACTTTGGAGGTATCCTGTAGGGAAGGGAAGCAGCTACCTGCTTCTTATGCCATCCGCAGGAAATGCAAGATGGCCTCACCAGCGACACCATCTGTGGTGTCTCATCTCTCCCACACCACTGCGTGGCATCGGCCTGTTCACGTGCTTTTAGGGCGTTGCGGGTGGAAAAAGTGTTCTGGATTCGAGATTCTTGCAGGCCTTCTTGCCGCAAGAATCCAGCAAGCGGTATGCGACATCCGACTTGCAGATTCGGCATTTTGTGCATGAATGTCTCATGAATGACAGTGCCTAGCTTCCGAACCCGCAGCCTTCACGCTGCCTACTGTCACTGGATTTCAAACATCCCCAAACCTTGAAACTCTGCGCCCATATCCAACATACGAAACAGGATGGAAACAACATCATCCGTCTTCTAGCTTTTCGGAATTGATTGTGTCGTGTTCTCACCAGTTGCCGACTTTCATAACGAGAACGTCCCAGTGTTGCAGCGGTTGTGTATAAACTGTTGCAGGGGCTATTGGGCAACATGTTGAACACAAACCGTTTCTCATTTTCACAAGTCCGCATGTCCAGACAAAGACGGAATCTTCATTTTTCGCAAATGGCGAGCAGAATCGTACATGAACTCAATCAGAACATACATAAACGGATATCATACTGCATCTATTCTGCCCTTTATGACGATATCTGAACCATGATAACCCACCATTTGCAAACATGTAACAAAGCCCAGCGAACCAGCCTTTGACGTGTTTGTCGTCATGGGACTTCGGTGTGCCGTGGCGCGCTTACGTTCTGAACAAGGTGTGGTATCCCCAATCTCTCATTGTCAGGACGAGGATGAGGCTGATGAAGGCCAAGCGGACACTTTTGCTGCCTTTGCTGCTTGTGTTGTTGTTGATGTTGAATTTTGCTTTTTGTCATTGTTTTGTTATTGCGTTTGTTGTTGTTGTTGTTGTTGTTGCTGTTGTTGTTGTTGTTGTTGTTGTTGTTGTTGTTGCGTTGTGGTTGTTTTTGATGTTGGTGGTGCTAGTGCTGCTGCTGCTGCTGTTGTTGTTGTTGTTGCTGCTGCTGTTGTTGTGGTGGTGGTAGTTGTTGTTGCAGTTGTTGTTGTTGCTGTTGTTGTTGTCGTTTTCGTTGTCGTTGCTGTCGTCGTGCTCGTCGCTCTCGTTGCTCTTGTTGCTGTTGTTGCTGCTGTTGTTGTTGCTGTTATTGTTGCTGTTGTCGTAGCCGCTACGGTTCACAGACGGCACCTTAGTTAGCTGTGCTAACCAGGCTTCGGGCGCAATTCTGCAGGTTTGCAACGGGCTCCTTACACTTGTTCGAACACACCAGTAACAAAAGGAACAATGGCACGAACAAACACACCTGCAAAGCATCCACTATCAACAGAAACGCCGCCTTATGGATGACACTGCCCAACCAGAGTAAGCTTAATCGCTAAACTCCCTATGCCTCTGAAGTGAAACCCTCGGCCCGAGCCACGACATCCTGGCCCCGGCAAGTGAAGCCGGCCTTTGGCTTGTTCAGCGCAGCTCCCAGCAGTATCGGCTTTGCCTCAAAAGCAAAGTTGCATGGGGCCTTGATAAAATGAAGGAAAGATTCTCGAGGTCCCTATACTTAAGGATCCCGTGACTGGAATGTGCTCATCATCGACTGTGTATTCTGCAACTCACCAGGCTCAGGATTCAAGATGCATTCCAACGTGGCGCTTGAGAGAGGGTGCAGGTTGCACAAAAGCCGAAGATGCAGGACTTGGGCGTGGCATTGTGTCTTCGGTTGCCTAAATCAGTCAGTAACTTACAATCTCGGTAACTCGGCGTCTGGGGATCTCTGTGGAATCGAAGGCTGTTTGGGCGGCAGTTGAGCGTTCAGGCTTGTGTGAAATTGAAGGTCTCTAGGGTGTAGGATTTCAGCTTCAGATGGTCAGGGACAAGTCCTGTGACAAGCCCCAAAGGTTTCTGGAACTAAGTGTCTACGGTACTGTGTAAGGTCTGAGAGATGCACTTAGGGTTCAATCGTCAAGATTGCAGTCGGCGTAAGGTCAGGTGATCGGCATAGGGTTCAGGGCTTGGCGTTCAGTTCTCAGGCTACGTCTCACGGAAAGGATCAACGTGCGAGCCGTTGAGCTCCTGGCAGGTCCCAGTTGGCTACTCAACGCTAACTGACCTGCTGAACATCCCATGCCGAAGCGAAGCGCAGCGTAGTTGAACCTTGCCCAACACCCTGACAAGATCAGTGGTTGAAACTCAAACGCCCTTCGCACCGTTGATGGGTGCCTCTTCCGTAGTCTCCGCGGCAACGCAGTCAAGTCGTTTCTTCAGGTCCTCCGCAATTCAGAAGCGTTAAGTACCAGCTAGATCAAATCCTGGAAGCTTCTGTAGCTGCGGTCTTGGTGCAGAAAGAACCCGACCGCTGAGGTACAGTACAGCACTTCATCCTGTTGCGCAAGCAGTGCGCTGCCTCTGTTCCACAACTGTGCCCTGGGTCTCATCCGCAGAATCTAGCAGCGACAACCACTCAATCTTGCTGGTGGAAACAAGAGACAATTGTAGCATTCGCAATCATCGAAACTAAGCTTCCTTGGTTGGGTGGAATTGAAGCTGCCTGGACCAAATCCAAGACCTTCGGAACTTCCGCACACCCTGTGGCGCCGATTCACCAAGCACTAGGGATTCATGTTTGGATGACAGGTTTAATTAGCAGATAAAGAGCGACATTCAGCGGCTGCAGAATCTGGCTGGAGTGCAGGACTTGAAGTGAGACAGGGTCGCTGGTCCTACGCCCCAAGGTCTGAAGAGGAGCCCTCAGCCCTCAACACTAATACCCTAAAGCCGTGAAGCCCTGGACCCTCAACCCCAAGACCCGAATCTCTAAAGCCCCTAGGGCCCATAACCCCAAACACCGAAAGACAATCCAAGCCTCACACCGAAAACCTCCCCAAGCCCTAAACCCTAAGCTCTCTGAATCTGAACCGGACCTGGCCTTTGTCGCCTGCTCCACGGCCGCCACAATGCCAATCAACTCCACCCGGTTCCCTTCCACCTTCGCGGCTGCAGAATGAAGGCTATGTAAGACTTTGGAATGAAAGGAATCCTTTCTTTTCCCGAATGCGAAGCAGAAGGGTTCTCGTTTGAAGGTTGGGGGTCTGGGGGTTAGGAGTTGACGCGGAATGCGTGCGCAGCGTTCGCAAGCGTCCGTGACTGTCGGATTTGGCTGGGAGGGACGCTCCCGCTGTGGTGCCGCGCTCAGTTTGCACGAACATGGCGTTCCCGCCACAGTGCCGGTC